GCCAGCGGCCCGAAAATGAGATCTGCGTGCCAATTCTGTCCTCTACGCAAAAGATCCATGGTAAAGGAACGCATCCAGTTCCCATACGGCTTACCCGGACGGAAAATGGGATACTCAACAGGTGCAGGTGTGACAGGTGTTAAGACGTATTTGGAGGTCAAAAATGGGGTTAGAGTCTCCCGAATGCCTTCAGGTAGAGTGAGCCATTTTCTGTAGATCAGATCGCCGTCTCTCATTCCAGTGCTTCGGAAGGCACAGGCTGCCTTGATATCCACTTTGTCCAAGAGTTCTTGCATGGCAAAAGACAAGAAGCCTTGGAGCTTTGTGTCTGTCGTGGAAAGGAAGGCCTTGACCAGGATTTGCTCCAGGATGAAGAGCACAAAGTCCGTCGTCTCGTCTGCGTTCTCAAAGTTGTTCAATAAAACCATGGACTTCTGCTCTCTGACAGCCTCAATTCTATTCGAGTCAAGGCACCCAACCAGACCGACGCATTGAGTACACAGGCTAGCGATTTCGGGCTGCACAGTGCTGTACTCCGAAGCGCAATCAAGCAAGGCGCGGAGCAGCGTTGACAACACAGGATCCGGCTGCTGACCAATCGCGGACGTCTGTAGGGAACCACTGTGCTGTTTGAGGTATGCGACAAGCTCTCTGAGAGCCTGAAGCACAACACCCGAGTTCTCGTGTGCCACTCGGGCTGCAAAGATGGCAAATGCTGTCCTGCTTTCGATGGGTTGATCTCGACGCACTTTTTGGAGCTGAGCTTCCACTTCAGCCAGTTCAGGAATATGTGCCAATGATGGCAACTTCCAGATGTACATCTCGATGACTGCGCTGAAGTGCTTTATAATGGTGGAAATCAGATGTTTGGCCTTGATGCGTGTGTTGTCGTCAAACACAGGCCAATAATGATTGATAATGAAGAACGTCGTTTCCAACAAGACTTCAACGTCCTCTTCTTCAAGGTAGGTTAGAAGGACCGCCCAGCAGGAAAACGCCGCCTCTCTGAGCTCGTCCTGAGCAATGGCCGACAGAAGACAAGCAGCAATCTACAGGGATCAGTAAAGAAAACCAGTCTGATGGTCGCGTCAACTCACATGTGGCCGAGCAATGCGCACGTAAGACTGGCAAAGCTTGATCGCTTCCTCCAATGCTCGAATGCAACGTATTTGTTCCTCGGGAGGCAGGCATAGCCCATGAAAATCATTGATGACGTCCGCCAGGCGAGCCATAAGGCCAAGCATGTACGCCTGGAGGAAACGACCGATGAGATTGCCCTTCTTGGGCTTGTCCTTGTTCGCGGCCATAACCAAGTTGCACATTGTGGTGATGGCATCGATAACCTCAAAATAAATCAGTAAGAATGCGGTATTTTCAGAGCGTAAAAACTCACACGGGCCTTGCGGGCTTCGTCTGCTTCAGCCGCAGCTTTGAGTAGCTCAAGGACAACCATAACAAGTTCGGCCTGTATCACATCAGCCAGCGTGGTATCAGCGAGAGTTGGCGCAAACTCGACAAGCCTCGCCATGGTGAATTGCGCCACGTCCGGCACGTCTTGCACTAAAAGCAATCCGAGGACTGGACCGATATTGATAGAGTCCATCACCGGGAAACCAACGTCCTTTTCCCCACGGGCCTCAGCAATCTTTTGGATTACATCCCTCTTCTTCATCAATACCAGCCATGGCAGAGCATGAGTTTGGATGAGGAGAAGAAACTCGTTCACAGAGATTTGCAAGATTTCGGCCAGCGACCGGCTGATTTGCGGTCGTGCCACCATATCTTTTACAGCGAAGTAGGCGAGATTTCTCCAGAAAGGCTCGAACAAGCGGCGTGGTGCTACATGCCGGGCAGCAGCCAAGTTGTTGATCTGAATACGTCAGTCAAGGTGGCTCAAAGATGGCACCAAGAACATACCTCATTGAAGGCACAGGAAGATATCAGACTGTTGCTGCTTCCGAGATATTCGAGTAACTGGTGCAATACTATGTTTAGTTCGTCCCCGGTGACCACTCTAAGTGATGTCAATATCTTAGCCCAAAGATGATGCTGTTGTCAGTGGTGCCTACCGTCCCAGCTGGCTCCACGCCATTACCCCAGTCTCGTGGAAGATTACTGCATCCTTTTCCGATGCAGCTTTGAGAAGACCAAGCGCGTTCTTGCGATTTCGGTGTACGACACTGATGTCTATCGTGCTAGAGGCTGGTTTCTTCAAGAAGAGAGCCAAAGCCCGTCTGTCGAACAAAATTAGCCATGCAAGATGGGTAGGATAGGGAAGCATACCCTGAAGCGATGCGTATTTCTCTGATAGAGCTATGCAATCCTTGCAGACACCACTGCCCCAAAGGAGAAGTTTCGAGGTCAAACAGCTCAGCTTCATCTGTATGATTTATGATGCGTCTGAGGGCGATCATTGCCACTACTCTTGGCCTTCTGGAGTCCTTGAAGGAAGGGAGGTTGATGAGTTTTGTGAATATCGATTGGGCCTCTCTTTTCGTTTCGGTGTCAATAGTGTCGGGCCTCTTCGGCCCTTCGTCTTTGCGATCGCATACGTCACAAATTATCTTTCCGTCCTTTCCTACGAATGGTCTGCCCGTTTGAGTGATCGCGTCCGCAGCGCAGCAAGTGCGGGAGATCAGATCAATGGCGAGGCATTGGCTCTTGACATTGATATGTGGATAGGCGTTTCTAGAGAAGTTAGCCTCCCCCAAGGGAACTGGAGAAATACGACGCCTTACAAAAACTTGTGTTCCAGATTGTCTAGATCGTTCACAACTCCAAGAACTTCGTCGATGCGTGCTGTCAGTTCCACAAGCTCATTGCCTTCAGTCAGGACTTTTCGCCGCTTGGTCGCAGGCTCGTCATCCACTGTGACGCTTTCTACATCACTTTCTGCAATGCCAAGACGTTCGACCAGAGCTCGTAATTCGGTGTCCGTGAAGCAAGCTGGCAGGGTTGCGTCGTCTAATTTTGAGGGTACAGTCGGTGCTGTTGCTTGTTTAAGGACACTGATAGAACGCTGCGCATGTCAGTGCTAGGTCAGAGAGTGCAGAGCATCAACGTACTGAAAAGTCACTTGGTTCCCCTAGTACGGGTACTTCGATGCAGAGCAGCTCGAGTGGCCAAACAACCTGAGGTGCTGCCAGTCTTCCAATCTCTCGGTCTACTAGCGACACTTGGGCAAGTCTCAGAAGTGCTTTACAGAGTGTTCTCCTCGCAGCTTGACTCGATTCATCTGGGCCTGCAATCTCATCCGGCCGTGCTGCGAGCTCGGCACACAATAACGCCAGAGAAGTGTACGCTTTCTGCGGTAGCAAGGCTTTCTTGCCTGTAGACAGCTCGTCTGGAAGCAGGCCAAGAGATACGTTGAGCAAATCAGCCTTTGCGCTTGGGGCAACGGGCTGCCATGTGTTTTGCACAGCACGTAGGGAAAGCAACGAGTCGAGCAACCATAGTCTCAGCTCGACAAACGGCGCGCGTGACAGAGGGCCCGAGTATCTAGCAATGGACGGGTGTGCGAGTGTTGATATTAGAGCTGCTGCTTGGCGCACGGCTTGTGACGCATGCGGGACAGCGTATGTAGTCTGTTGTACGAAGAGAATGCCAGGTTTTCCCAGGAGCAGCTCGAGTGTACCGGCAGGAGGAAGGCTCATGTCTATAGTCGCATCCTGTGCAGGGGCAATAGGCGCCGTCTCTTGTAGGCGAGACAGGAGAGCTGTGACCATTAGTCATCATGGTGTGTTGACGCATTCTGATGGACAACTCACCATTGCTTGTTTCTCGCAGGTAGAGCAGCATGGACGACAACAGCGCTCCCATTGAACCAACTCCACTCACCACCAAGATGATGAACCGAAAGAACTCCTCGATTGGAGCCGTGAGGTCAAGGCAGCGAGCATGGCCAAGCAGTTTCAGGACCTTGGGAAAGACCCAGACCCAAAGTGGCTCCTCCCCGCGGAACACGAACTGTTTCCCGTCCGTGGTATAGTTCATGACAATCGGTGTCTCCTCGATCGTGACTTTCAAGAAGTTGATCGCCTTCAATGCCTCGCTCCGTATAACCTTCTTGTCGGCGAAAGGATCGTCGAGCTTGATTCCGTCTAGGACGACGCGGGAATAGACGTATATGAGCATATGATTGTGCTCCGTTCGTTCGTCGGGCGTGCGCAGCAGACCGGGGTTGTTCTTGACCCGCTCGATGACGGCGGACAAGCTTCTCAGCTCGGTGTTCTCATCGGATCGTGTGGACTTTGTCGAAGCAGGCAGGTTTTCGACGAGCTGGGCGGCTAACGTGGAGGGAGGCGGCGCATTGGCAACTGCGCCAGCAGGTTTGCCGTACAGCTGTTCTGCCGCCATGGTCTCGTCGGCATCGTCTCTTGGCTCGGAGGAAGCTTGGAGGCGAGAGACTGAAGGCGGCGAGGAAGGTTTCCGCTGGAGGAGCTCACGGCGTTCGCTGCGAAAAAAGCGACGCAGACGTGAACTGCGACTTCGTCAAGCTCAAGGCAGCCCACCCCCGCCAGCGCGTCGAGCGTGGCGCACTGTACGCGGGATCACGTGCTCGTCTGCCCCCGGTCCTCTCTAGGTACGTAAGCACACCTGGTCCGAGCTGCTGGGACTTCGCAACCTGGAAATATCTCCAATTCCAGATTGGTGGAGCGAATGTTGCGGCACGCCTCAGGTTGACCGTCCATACTCACTCTCACCGGAGGGGTTTGAACGACGGTGTCAGCTTCGTTATGCCCGCGTTCCCCTGGGAACTTTCGTCTTTCCTCGTTCATTTGTTAATATGAGTCTCGGTTGATTGGTAATCCTGGAGCTTTCTTGCAAAAGTTGCGAGTGATTGGCCCAGGCTATCCCAATCACCTGATTCTTGCACGCCCTTGCAAGTGCAAATGCGACGTTTTTGGAGAGTCGTGCTGACGATATATTCCTCCACCCATAACTTCGTGGTGCATCAGTTTCCAGTGTTTCTCGTCCAACTCTCTCACTGATTGTAAACAATGATTGGTCTCAAAGAGGCAATGCCAGAGGCCCTGTTGGTCCAGGATGCCCCAAGCCAAGCGGCGTCAACCATTGAGATGTAGTCTCTGAAGCCTTCAAAGAGTAAACGCAGCCAAACACAACAGCCTCTGGACCAGCAGCACATCATCCATACCCAACCTACAACAGACACCGAGAGCCCAACTGGCAACCCCTCCAGAAATGCCTCCAAGGCAAAAGGCGTCACTGTCATCGTCACACTCGCAGGCGTCAACTTCCTCAACACGATGGGATCAGGCATCCTCATCGCCGCCCTCCCACGGATCGCCGTGGACGTGGGCCTCGCCGATGGTCTCTCGCTATGGCCAGCCGCGGTCTACTCCCTGGCAGCAGGCTGTCTCCTCCTCATCTTCGGCGCCGTCGCCGACGTCGTCGGCGCGAAACTGATGTGGCTGACAGGCAGCTTTCTCTATGCCATCTTTACGGTGGCCGTCGGCCTGGCCAGGACCGGTATCCGGCTCATCCTCTTCCGCACGATGCTGGGAATCTCAATCTCAACGTGCCTCCCGACCGCCATGAGCTTCATCACGAGCACCTTTCCCAAGGGGAACTGGCGCAACGTCGCCTTCTCCATGAACGGCATCGGGTTCCCTTTGGGCTACGCGCTCGGTCTGGTCGTCGGTGGAATTGTCGCAGACACCATCGGATGGCGGTGGGGGTACTACATAATGGCCATGATCAACGTCTGCCTCTCAACTGCGGCAATCTGGTCTCTTCCATCTGTGCATCGACAGTCTGAGAAGACGTGGACTCGCCGTCTCGCCGAGGATATTGACTGGATCGGAGCTATCATTGTGAGCGTCGCTTTGGGGCTGCTGCTGTATGTTTTGGCAATGACTACTTCGTCTTACACGAAACTCAGTGACGCCTCCAACATTGCTCTTCTGGTCGTAGCTGTAGTTTTGTTGGTGGCTTTTCCAATTTGGATGGACTTCCAATTCAAGAATAATCGACCGGCGCTCATTCCGAACCGTTTGTGGCGAAATGCAGCCTTCACATCCATCTGCGTAAGTCGGCTTTCCTGATCACACACTCAACATTGCATCTTACACCGAACAGGTATCCATCTTTCTCAGTTGGGCCGCACTGAATTCGATTCAGTACTTCATCATGTTATTGTGAGTCAAAAACAGTCTCAAAGTAAGAACGCAAAGACTTATTCGTCGTTTTAGTTTCCAAGAAGTCCAACACGTATCCGCTCTCCAAAGTTCCATCCGCTTCCTCCCGCACATCATCACAGACACAATCGTGAACATGGCGTGCGCGTACCTCGTCTCCAGAGTTAAAGTACAATTCCTAGCCGGCGTCTCCGCCCTCGTTACCATTGCCGCGCCCCTCGCGATGGCCACGGTCAAAATTGACGGCTACTACTGGTACGCGCCCTTCTGGGCCCTCGCTCTATCACCAATCAGCGCAGACGGTACACCCCCCCCCCCCCCCCCTTTTGGCTCTTGAGAAGCAACCGCAAGACTGACGCAACTCACAATAACAACAGCCCTCTTCACCGTCTCGAATCTCATCATCTCCGACGCCTTCCCGGCAGACCTCCAGTCCCTCGCCGGCGGCGTTTTCGCCGAGGTCGGCCAGATCGGCAACGCGGTGGGCCTGGCCGTGACGGCGGCCATCGCGTCCTCCGTGACGGAGCACTCAGCCGCCGCCGACGAGAGGGAAGCGCGCATGGCCGGCTACCGCGCCGGTTTCTGGGCCATCTTCGCGGCGACGGTGGCCGTTGTCGTCATTGCGTTCTGGGGGCTGAGGAAGGGCGGCACGGTTGGGAAGAAGGACGACTAAAGCATTTGAGGGGTGGGGGGTGAAGGTGATAGTGGTGGTGCTAACTAAGGCTGAGACTGCACGTCGTCTTAGCTCTTAGCTAGCAGGTAGGACTTTGCGGTTTCTATTTGCTTGAGCCGCCGCTGCCGCCTTGTTTAGTGCCCTGCTGTCTGGGGGAGATGGGACTAAAGATGCAATCCTGATTGTTACTAGCAAATCGAGATGTCAAGATGGGGACCAAGTACATCCCGCCCGCTGCAGCGGAGTCAACCATCCGTTTGCCGCCCTACCAGCACTGATGTTTGTGAGAGTTGTATTCAATTCCTAGCACTTTCAAAGCCCCGCATTCTTATTACACCATGATTGTCATGACTATCAGCGACAGCCAATGTCAGGAGTTCCAGTGGTTTCCCATCAAATCTTGACCTCGAGCGTCCACCCAAGCTCGAGGCCAAGTTCGACCACCGACCTCCCATGTCTAGCACACACGACGAACACTCATGAGGCACTGTTGTGGTGGCCGTCGGGGAAGAGAACAGCGCTCACAAAATCAGACCAAGCCTCGGGATGCTCAACGGGCTCCTTACCATCGAGAGTGGCGTTGTACCAATCCCAGCAATCGATACCGCCCATGTCCGGGATCTTCTTCATGATCGCCTCGACACCCGTCTTGATGGTTGGTCCGTCAATCCAGCCATCGGCAGCTTCCTCTGGGTCGGGGTTCCCCACCAAGTTCAACACGAGCTTGTTCGCCGGGAAGCCAGCGGCTACATAACTGCTGAACTCATCCACATCCAGCGTTCCCCAGTTGTTGTACAGCTGCACGTTGAACCACGATATAGCATCGTGCATACCCTCCTCTCGGAACAGTGTCTGATAATTGACCCCGGACAGTCCCCCCGGGCTCAGCAGTTCGCCGCCGCCAGGAGCCATGGTGATGAGCAAATGCGGAAAGTCAGCCTTGAGTTTCTTGATCACCTTCGTCACGCCCTCGTTGCCGATGTCCTGCACGCCGATGGGATTGTGAGGCTCGACGTTGAGGTCGACGCCCTCGAGCTTCTTGGCCGCGATCATGTCCTTGATGAGCTTGTAGCCCTTGTCGAACTCGGCATCGCCGCCGCCGAGGCCAGTCGCTTCCCAGATTCCGCCGCCGCCCAGCAGCCCAAAGACAAGAATGCCCTTCTGCTGCAGCTCGGCGGCTTCTTCCCACACTCTGACGTTGTCGCCTTGGTCGTAGATCTCGTCGTTGAGGTAGATCTTGTGGTTGCCGGCGCCGTCGTCCTTGGTGTAGTTCAGATGGAAAGCGGATATGATGATGTGGGAAGTGTGTCGGCTAGGCTCGCCGAGCGGGAGCATTGACAGCCATCGCTTGGGATCGCGATCGTACGTGTGGGATTGTACGTAGTAACCCAGACGGCGGGCCTGCATGACTATTGTTATGGGAGTTGAGAACTGAATGGATGAGTGTCAGGGTGAGAGGCAGTTTGGAGTGAATCCAAAGCAAAAAGAGATGGTCGATGTACTTTATGTTGGAGGAAGTTTCTTTGTCCACTTTTTAAGAGGGTATGAGGCAGTTTCGTTGTACTTTATATGCAATCGCTGCCTTAAATGACAACCGCATTCTTCGTCAGTTTTGTAGGATAGGTCATTAGTAGAAAAGCTTTGCTGAGCTCATGTCATAGACATCAACCGTACCCAACAGCAACAGTGTTAGAGATTCGACTTACAATCTCGTATACAGAGCCAACCAACCTAATCCAAGGTTAGACGCTTTACAGGAGAGTTACAAGCCGAAGTGAAGCTGAAAGTATAGGCTGAGACGGAAGATGTGAGCTGAAGCTAATCAAAGTCGTTCATAGCCTCCTTGCAGACACTAGGACCGTCAATATGCACTGCAAGCTTCTCTCAGCTGAGAGACTCAGCTGAGGCTCTCAGCTCAACACTTCAACGCCACGCTTTACAATTTTTCCCAGCATGCCGACGGGCTTGCCGATATGACGCTGATATATCACCCACCCGGCTGATGAATAGCTGAACACGTTTCAACCAGAAATAGATTTGAGCCGTATCTGGCGTCTAAATGGATACGAGCAGCCCTATCGGCAGTTAACAACACTATTGTCCACGGTGACGCCGTGTCTCAATCGTTCATGAGAAGCTGTCTAGTGTTTTAATGTCGCCGAGCTGCCCGCGGACACATGATGAAGATAAAAGGACGGTGACGCGGTGTCGAACTAAGTTGATCCTCATCATTCCCAGGTCATTTCAAGACATCGCAAAGCCGCATCCTCAATCACATCAGAATGGCAGAAATCGCTCTCCCTCAGCAGGATGTCGCGGCGACCCCTGCCGATATTGTATCTCACGGTAGCAATGACGACACTGATGAGCTCCCGACTTCATCGCCCGGCATCTCGACCGAAACGCCTGTCGCCACCGAGCCCCTTGATCTCGGTGGACGACTTCTATCAGAAGACGAGATCAAGGAGATGGCCGTGTTCAACACTGCCATTCGATGTTCCGCCCATTTGGATCCAGGATTATTTTCTTGGGGCCTAGAGGTACAAACACTGATGTTGTTGTTATACGTATTCACCATTCGCTCACCATATCAGGTCGAAGTTCCTGGCTTGCGAAAGAAGCTCAAGCTCGAAGTCGGAGGCAGACTTTTCTTCATGTGGTGGCAACGTCAATTCCTTCGGTGAGAGGCCCGCGAGTTTGAGACATAGTGAGCCTTGCTGACCGACCGTCTCTTCAGCGGGACGTTCTTCTATTACAACGATCGCCCACAGGTTGGCGTCAGACTCGTCGGCAAAATCACAAAGCCAACCAAGCTGGTATGTTGGAAGCTGGAGCTCCACGCAGTATGATCAAGTCGAACTCATGAAATCGTCCAGAGCCCTCTCACCGTCGAGTACACACAGCTCGGCCGGACCGTCGGACGCTTCGTCACACAGGACCACGCCTGGGCAGGCGAACTGAAAGACACGACCGCATACGGCACCGCATCCGACATCGACGCTTTCCAAGACGGCGCCAACGTATGGGATACGTGGGCCACCTCCCAGGACGGCAGCGGCCACTCTCATAACACGGGCGTGGTGTTCCTCAACACGAACGTCGAAGACGTGGACCAGAGAGTGGTCGTCAGCCTGAAGCGCCTGAACATCGCGCAGGGCCACCACACCGGCGTCACCGCGTACGCCGAGCTCCCCGACAAGCACCACAAGTTCCCCATCACGCTCAACAAGGACGGCGACAACAGCGCTGACCTGCAGGGCGGCGGGCTGTCCTGGTACTTCCCGCCGCCGCCCACGGAAACCGGTATATTGGTCGGCAACTGGTTCTCCGGCGCCGTGACTTCGACGGGTTTCCGCAAGGTGGTCAAGTTTCAAGACCCAGACAACGTCGGGCGCCCCCGGCCGCCGATATTCCGCCAGCCGCCCACCGTGTGCGTCTGGCTGTCGGGGTTCATGCACCGCACCACCGACGACAACTTCAATCTGCGCGTCCGCCTGGGCCAGGTGACGAACACGACCTTCGAGCTCATCATCTCCTCGTACGGACATTCCCGGCTGGCTTCGGCCTCTGGCTCCTTCATCGCCGTCGACAAGACGCGAAGCCATGGGGTGCGTGTCGGAACCATCTCGGCCAACGCGATGGACGGCGGCAACTGGAAGACGAAGTCCCAGACGCAGAATGTCGGTGTTGGGTTCGGCACCGTCATCGCGGGCTTCACGGGGTTGGACGCCAGCAACAAGAACGGGTTGAAGGTGAACATCGACGTCGACCAGCAGGCGGCGGATTCTTTCAAATGGACGGCCGAGTCGTGGGGTGACAGTACCATGAATGCCTTCGAGGCCATGTATATCTGTTACTAGAGCATGTTCAAGAGATACCATCACCGATTTTGGCCTGCCATTACTTTCAGCACTATGCCCAGCCACAGCTGCGCAAGCTCGAGTTACGTCGTCGGCTCCAGTTACGCCTGTGAATGTAGTATAAACAAGCTCAAGCTCATTTCGTCCACATGGGCCAGATGACGCACTTTGCTCGGGACTAGTAGCCGCTTGTTTCAGTCTGATCTTTACCTAGAGGCAGGGTTTACCTCTCGGTAGGCCGCAGATATTCGGACGAAAAAAATGGGCAGGTCGGATCGGTGTCCGAGCTCGTGAGGTGTCTCAAGCTAGAGCTAAGGATTCAACGGCCAGCCGCCAGAGCCTCCGCTTGAACAGGCGTTCTTGTTTGTTGTCGCTGTCTGTCAATATGTCATGTTGCATGTTGACATGTCGCGGTTGCCCCCTGCGAACCCATGGAAAATGGAGGCGGAGTGTTTGATGGAGCTTCATGCGGATGACGGGTGCCGACTATGGAGAAGTTGACGACATGCTGACACTATCACGACCGGGAGCCCGGCTGAGAGCTGCGGGTCGTCTCTGCAAAGATGCCGTTGTCTCTCTTTATGCAGTACGATACGGATACCATGAGAAGGAACAAGACATTGACTGCAATGAGAGAGACACCAAAGTCCTCCGAGCCCGCGATACAGAATCCTCCACCATCAGGAATGGAAGTCGTTGAAAGGTCATCATAGAAGTAGGCCCCTCCCAGAAAACGGCATACAGATCGATCGCCCAGCGGCTGTTGTCCAGTAAACCTTGGCAGCGCCGATCTGGATGTATTTATTTTGGCGGTTCATACGGCAGTAGACCGAAAAAAAAAAAAAAAAAAAAAAACACCTAGAATGGAGGGCGAGAGAGGAGGGACGAACAACTGCATCGACCGGGTGGCCGATGATCAGTTGGAGAAATCCTCCGTGCTGCATGTGCCGAACAGCCCAGGCCCTGGCCTTTTGGGGATAACACTGTGAATGAGGTGTGTGAGGCTTGGGTCTTGTGAGGGAATGGAAAGGCGTTGGTCTTGTGCTCGTGTGCTCGTGTGCCACATTCGTGCCCAGCCAAGCCACCGTTTGGTTTCTATCTCTCCATGATGTAGCATATCCAACCTAAGAGATAATGATA